TCCTAGTGAGTAGCTGCACTTTTGGACAGTGGACCTGGTCATGGAGGGTATGCAGATTCAGTGACAGCAGGCTCAGAAATGAATCCATGGGGCTTGACCTGGTGAGTGGCCAAGCGAGGACCACTGTAGCAAAGCATGGACTTGTTGTTTCTGATGCCTTGCCACCTCTAATAGATGGTCACCTCCTCTGATGGTGTCACACATGATGGTTTGCATCCTCTGCACCTCATCTCCAGTGACCCAAGTAAAAGATGAGACGGGAGGAGAAATAAAGCTGAAGTTGCCAGATAGTTACTGGAAATAACTCTGCCAACATTAGTGGGTGAACTTCTTTCCTGACCGCTTGTTGGAATGTTAATACAGTAGAGTCTCACTTATCCAACCTTTGCCATTTATGAAAGGTTGGCACTCCATTTATGCCACAATGTGGCCTTGACTGTTATGATGCTGTTACAAAGAATTAATTTTAAAATTTTGCATAAGATAATGGTTGTATTAGAAGCCAGAACATTGTTTTTTTAAGTAATATCATGACTTTTTTATTTTTTATTTGAAATTTTAATGGAAATATTGTCAGATTTTTACCTATCCTTTCATATGGTAAAGGTAAAGGTTTTCCCTTGATATTAAGTCTAGTCATCTCCATTTCCAAGCGTTGTCCGTAGACGCCTCCAAGGTCATGTGGCCGGCATGACTACATGGAGCGCTGTTACCTTCCCAATGAAGCGGTTCCTATTTGCATGTTTTCGAACTGCTAGGTTGGCAGAAGCTGGGGCTAACAATGGGATTTGAACCAGTCAGCAAGTTCTGCAGTTTAGGAGTTTAACACTCTGTTCCACCACAGCCCCTACATCCTTTCATATACGTAAGAATTTTTGTTGTTTCCATATCATTTACTTCATTCTGTAAAATACAATGTAATAGATGGACCTTTTAAACATGAAATCCCCATGTTAGAATTTTCTTTTCTTGTAGGAAATTTCTGAAGAGTTTCCATTTTTTAAAAATATTGAAGGGTCTTTTACCGGAAGATATCTTCTCAAAATTTCTATTTTTGGTGTTTCTTCTAGTTTCCACGTCTGCACAATAATTATTTTAAAGTAGATTATCGCTATGTAAAAAGCAACTTTGTGTTCAATGTGCCGTCAAAGGCTTTCACGGCCGGAATCACTAGGGTGTTGTGTGGTTTCAGGGATGTATGGCCGCGTACTGGCACAAGTTTCTTCTGACATTTCATGTGCATCTGTGGCTGGCATCTTCAGAGGACCATGCCAGTCACAGATGCAGGTGAAACGTCAGGAAAAAAGTGCTGCTAAAACACAGCCATATAGTCTGGAAACCACACAACACTCCAATTTTGTGTTGCTTAATACTTTTTGTTTTACTTCACAGAGGTTTTGGATTGATAGACACATTGTATAAAATTAAAAAAAAACCAGCTTGTAATGCCTCTAAAATAGGCATGGGCAAACTTCAGCCCTCCGGATGTTTTGGACTTCAACTCCCATAATTCCTAACAGCTAGTAGGCTGTTAGGAATTATGAGAGTTGAAGTCCTAAACATCCAGAGAGGCGAGGTTTGCCCATGCCTGCTCTAAAATGTCTGAGGATGTGGGGAAGAGATGGGAAAATAACTCAAAAGCTTTACTTGTTACACTACACAACGTCTACATTAACATTATGTGAAATGTTACTTTATTATTTGATACTCATCACAATGCCATCCAACCCACCTGAATATGATGAATGTACATATCACACATGAACAAATACTGTGACTGTATTATTTTCACTAGAGTCTGCTCAACAGACTCTGAAAAGTCTTGATAGACTTGTGAACCTTGGGAGAGCAGATTGCATTTCTGTACCAGCTTCCTAGATTTTGGACTGTCAATAGCATCAGTAGCAAAGTGAAGTGATTATCCTAATTATAACTCTTAATTAAGTTTGAAACTTCTGCCTAGAACTAAGGGGAAATCCATCCAGATGAGGATGTAAATAGAAACCATCAAATTTGTACTTTCAAATAAAAGCTGCAATCCAACACCCCCCTGAGCATAGTGTAAATGAGACATGTTGCTCCAGCACTATGCAACCCCTATACAGAATAGTAACAATATACAACACATGTTACTGACTGCATGCAATTGTGCAATGCACATAGGACAACCACAGTATATAACTGCAGTACATAATGCCCGATATATAGCCATAATGTGCAGTGATGCTGTATGTGCAGCTCCACTTTGGTCACTGTCAGCAAAAGATGTTTGTTACGCTATGGCAAGTAATCCTCCTTGTACACATAGTGCAATTTGCACATGCATATTTCACTACCAGAATGATAGCCAGAACTGTTCTAAAAGAGTAGAAATAAATTTCTTCCCATTCTTCAGTGTTTTTTTCCTTTCCTTACTCTTTTAAAAGCCCATTTCATTTAGATTTCCATTTTAGAAATGCATTTCGGAAAGAGCCTTTAAGTGGTTTCTAAAAGTTACTTATGCAAGACTCAATTTGCCTGGTTGTGTCAATTGTGCATTTGTTTATTCTGCATGAAAGGTTTGCAGAAACTTCTATCTCGGCCTTTCTTTTTGTGGTGTAAGACCCTATTCCTATTTTCCCCCATGTTATTTTTGGCACTAGTATCAAATTTTGTTAAAGAAGTGAAGCCAGAAACACATCTGCTTCATTTATGGCAGTATACCTGTAATGATAATGATAAGAACAGATGATAAATAATAATGTGGGATTGGCACTGGAAACCCAAATGACTCTGTCTCTTCCACTCCATCACTTCAGTAGTTGCTACCCAGACTCTGGGAACAGCTGCTACCAGGGACATAGCAGCTTTTGCTCCTGACAATCTTTCTTCTCAGTGAGAATTAAACATTTACTTAGAGTTGAATGAGATCACAACTCCCATCCAGTCTAACCCCCTGCCATGCAGGAATACACACCTGATACATGACCTATGATGATGATGAGGAGGAGACTAATCATAATGTGCTTTGAAATGTAAATCAACATGTGTTTGCAGACTGAAATTACACACACTGAGGGAGACAGAAGACTTTGACTATTGCTGTGTGCTTTCAGATTGTCATGGCAATTTAAGGTTACCCTATCATGGGGGTTTCTTGGGCTGAGAGTGTGTGACTCACCAAGGGTTATCCAGTGAGTCTTTATAGCCAAGTGGGGAATCGAATCTTGGTCTCCATAGTCGGAATTCAATGCTCAAACCACGACACCACTAGAGAGATTATATTTTAAAATGAGCCCTTTTGAGAAAGCAGATAACACACCCATCAACTTGCGCAGGATGAGTCACCAATCATTTTTGTTACTTAAAACACAGTCCAGGAAGACAAAGGATTGTGAAATTAAAAGAGAGTTCCAGAGAGACCAATCTCAAATGATACTGAACCGTAAAAAGTATCTCAGTTATCTCCTGTTAATTTCAGAATCTGGCAAATAAATGAAAAGATGCAGCAGATAATTGACTATATATGTTGGCTATATAATTTCAGTGGCATCCAATTCAAGGGGCTTTGATTCAGCTGCTTCCAGGTTGAAGAATTCTCTCCAAGGGAATGTCCCCTCTGTTTTCTTTCCACCAGCTAGCAAAACCCTTTGTATTTGGGCTGATAATTGGCTGTTGCATTAGGGGCTTTTGTGAGAGCTATTGTACTGTTATCCCCATTTCTATGTTTTGAATGTTTCAAAACTGCTTTAAATTAGGGTTTTATATGATTGCATATTTAGCTTTTTAAAGTGTTTATATTCTAAATGGTCTTTAGCCGTATTTTGTTTATCTTATACTGTGTTTGGGTTTGGGTCCCTTTTTGTAGGAATGGTGAAATAGAAATCTTCTTGTCTCAATGCAATTCCAGTAGACATAAGGTACATCATAGGGTGCATTTACAATGTAGAATCACTGCAGTTTGACTCCACTTTAAGTGCCACGGCTGAATTCTATGAAATCATGGGGTTTTTTAGTTCGGTGAGGCCTCTGCACTCTTTGGCACAGAAGGCTCATTGAACCATGGCAGTCAAAGTGGTGTCAAGCTACATTAATTTTATAGTATAAATCAGAGCTTCTCAAACTGTGCTCCTCCTGATGTTTTGGACTTGAGCTCCCACAATTCCTAAGATGGCTGGGATTTCTGGGAGCTGAAGTCCAAAATACCCGGAGGAACACAGTTTGAGAAACACTGGTGTAGATGGACCCATAGTTGCTTGTGTTCTTTCCTCCTATCACTTAGTGGTACTTGCAATATCCCCACCCTACCCCTGATACTGGATCTACACTGCCATATAATCCAATATCTAATCCTAGATTATCTGATTTGAACTGGACTATATGAGGCTGGATCTACACTGCTCTGTATCCTAGGATCTGATCCTAGATTTGCTTATCCCAGATTATCTGGCAGTACCTTTCACACCAGAAGTGATTTGCAGTTTCTCATGTAGCTCCTGACACGACAAAAAAATCTGGCAGTATATACTCATATAATCCAGTTCAAAGCAGATAATCTGGGATCAGAAACTGGATTATATGGCAGTGTAGATGGGGGCTGATCTTGACACTGGCCAGTAAGAGAGATATATATAGTGCACTGCTTTATAAGCAGTGAGGTAGGCTCTCAACCATTATCTGGACGTCCTGATTTCCAAAAGTGCATAGCAATTTCATTTTGCCCTTCCACTTCAGAATTGCATATAACCAGTCTGATCCAATCAGGATATAGGTAGGTACAAATCTGTTCAAATTGGCCTGATTTTACTTGGAATTCTGGATTCTGCTAAATGAAGACAGCTCTTGTGATCTGTTCACAAATAATTAAAAGTATAGGCTAGATGTCATCTGGTTGTTTAGTTATAATACCATAAATCCTAGAAACAAGGACCTTTATATCCACAGCATGGTAGTATAATATAGTTTTAGATAACGAACATTGCTTGGATCTGAGATCAACCAAATTGTCCTTTCTTTTGCAGTAAACTGCACATTGGGAGAAACTCTTCAGACATCAGGAGTGTTTGGTCTTCACAACTGCTGGTAAGATTTCATTTGATTCTGATCTATGAGATACATATGTTCTTATTTTATTACTTTGTTGCTTCTGAGTCCCCCCACATTAGTGGTTCCCAACCTTTTTTTTTTTTTTACCAGAGACCACTTTGACTAGGGACCACTTTGCCCAGGGACCATTTCAACAAGGACCACTTGAACAGGGACCACTCTAACCAGGGACCACTCTTCAACATTAGTACCAAAAAGGTTCTGAATTAGTTTTTGGTTAACTTTAGATTGGGTTTGGTTATTTGGGGTGCTGATTCAGAAAATTGCCTGGGATAGACCACATCAGTTCTAGTTTCTGATACAGAACATATGCCATCCAGTAGTTGCCATCTCCTCGCCCACAGAAAACCATATTTAATAATCAAGAGCCACGGACCTTATTTTAGGTTTCGTGGCCCACCAGTGAGCCGTGGAATCCTGTTCCACATGGATTCAAGACTTTTGTATATGAACCATGCCAAAGGTGAGATTCTGAACATCATTTCTAATAAGTATGTTTACATTTGCAGCCTTAGTTTCCCCAGCATATTATCTATGGCTGAGCTTGGAAATAACTAGTTAAATATATATAACTACTTGTGTACTGGTTAGTTACTCCTTCCCCTGAAGTTTAACAAATTAAATTGCTTGATGGCACTTGATGGAGCTTGGAGCAACTAATTAGCTTTAACAAGTTGCGTGATAACTTGTCCCCTCTCCCTCAGCTTCATGATTTTAAGGTAAGTGGGGTGGTAGAGGAATAAGTTATTCCTGATTTTAAATGATATCTACTCTACATTCATAACTAATCTTTATTGCTGCATTTTGTAATATTTTTGTACTTTTTTCATGTCAGAAGCGACTTGAGAAACTGCAAGTTGCTTCTGGTGTGAGAGAATTGGCCGTCTGTAAGGACGTTGCCCAGGGGACACCCGGATGTTTTACCATCCTGTGGGAGGCTTCTCTCATGCCCCTGCGTGGGAAGCTGGAGCTGACAGACGGGAGCTCACCGCATCAGATCAGCAGTTCAGTTGGCACAAGGGTTTAGCCCATTGTTCCACCGTGGCTCCCCAATTGTGTAATGAAATGAACACATAATAATTTTTTGCCTTTTCCATAACAGGCAAACAATTCAAAGGCTGATTGAATAGCATACATATTGGTAGGAGGGGGTAGGAAAAAGAAATACAGATCAGTGATAACATTTAATTGAACATGTTGTTATGTACCATGCTTAGGGACAGCCTGGCAGTTTCAGGATGCATTTTCTTTACAAATTCTACCATATCTTTTCATCAAGCAAATTATAGGATATCTAGTCCAAAGCATCAGAAAATGACAAGCTAGTGAAGGCATTGTAAAAACTAAAAAAGGAACATTTTTTGTAGGAGCTAATAACAGACTGGGCAATAAGAAGACAAATACATCAATCAATCATGTCATTGCATGTCAATCCTATGATTTTCTTTTAAAAACCCCAAATAGTTTAATTGTCAATTACTAATGATTAAGTGAGCCACGTTAGTGCAATGTATGTTTTGTGATGTTACTCAGGAACCGGTCTGAGTCCCCTTGGGGAGATGGAGCGGTATATAAATAAAGTTTTATTATTATTATTATTATTATTATTATTATTATTATTATTATTATTATTATTATTATGGGTTAAACGCTTGTTCTGGCCGAACTGCTGAACTGAAGGTCAGTGGTTTGAATCCACGAGATGGGGTGAGCTCCCATCTGTCAGCTCCAGGTCCCCATGCGGGGACATGAGAGAAACCTCCCACAGGATGGTAACACATCTGGGTGTTCCCTGGGCAATGTTTCTGCAGACGGCCAATTCTCTCACACCAGAAGCGACTTGCAGTTATCTCAAGTCGCTTCTAACATGATAAAAAAGCCATTACTGTGAAGTCTTCCTTCCTTCACTCTATAAAAAAACTGTCCTGCTACTTACTGAAACTTTCATTTTAAGGAAAACAGGCAGAAATGTAGATGTGCTGGAATCATCAAAAGTACATTGACAATAGACCAGGGCAGGCCCTTTGTCAGGTAATCAAAGCACATTGTTTCTGAACAAAAGAGAATGAATGTTTAACATATAAATTCCTGTTTTTAAGCCTGCATAATGCTAATGTATTTTAAAGCTATAGACAATAATTATTTTGATTGGTTGTTGATTTATAATACTGTATGGCACACAGTTTTGCCAAGAGCGTGAATTCTCTTTGTTTTCCTGTTCTTTTTCTCGAGAGCTAGTCACCTGTGTTAGTCCGAGGTACATTCTGCTTTACTCAAACAAACCCTGGGAACCTAAAGAACATTCAGCCCCATCTGTCCCTTGCTGAATTGCAAAATGTGATTTATGTCGCAGCCAGCCATGAAAATAAATGATTTTGCTTTTAATCAATAAATGTTCCCACAATCTACAACTTGAACAATGAAAGTTAACAATTTAGCATTTATCTTTTTGAGTTAAATAAATTGACCTGGGGCTTGTGCACTCCCAGAGTTGTCAGTAGGAATATTGCCATAGCTTTAAACACAACTAGCATTAGGTTATTCATTATAGTCCATATTCCATACACCAAAGGCATTTCTATCATTTCAAAGATTACCAATTTTTCCTGACATCACAGTCAAATCCCCCAGTCTTCTGTGACACACATTTAGGGGACCTGAAAGGCTGTTTTAGGAAGATGGTAAACCTGTGGGTCCCCAGGTGATGTGGCCTACAACTCCCAGAAATCCCAGCCAGTTTACCAGCTGTTAAGATTTCTGGGAGTTGAAGACCAAAACATCTGGGGACCCACAGGTTGAGAACCACTATGTTATGGAAAGGAAAGTCTGTTTCTGACAACCCAGTTCCACCAACCTAAACCTGAACCTAATTTGGATGAGAACAATAGCATGTATGAATCAAGAAAGAGAAATACATTCAGCCCCCCACATTCACTGGGATTAGGGGTACAATACCCTTGAGAAACTGAAAAACAGTGAAGAAAAGAAATTGTCATTTGTTTTACATGGGAAAACACCTCTCTAAGGGCACATCTACACTGACCATTTAATGCAGTTTCTGACCACTATTGAAGAAAATGATTTTGCTGTTCAGATGACCACAGAGGGAATCCTGGAACGAGCTGAGGTGTGGATGGTGATTATATAAACCACAGAGCCCTGACGCACATTAAATGCTTCTTTTAGTATGTGTTGTGGGAATTTTATTGTTGTTTAGCCACTGCAGTTTGAACTGCATTAAATGGTCAGTGTAGATAGGCCCTAAAAATCTCTAGGTTCTCCAGTATGAATTCCATGGGAGGTTGACCACAGAATTGCACTCGAGCAATGGTTCTTAACCTGTGGGTCCTCAGGTGGTTTGGCCTACAACTCCCAGAAATCCCAGCCAGTTTACCAGCTGTTAGGATTTCTGGGAGTCGAAGGCCAAAACATCTGGGTACCCACATGTTGAAAACACTGGCTTAGAGATTTCTAGAGAGGTATCCTCCCATGTGACTCTATGATCAATTTCTGGTAGAAGTTGCACTGGAGAACATGCAAATTGGATAAAATCAATTAGGCCCTGAAGGATTTCATTTTAAGAAGTGCTTTGACTTGTCTCTTGAATAACATGAGTGTTAGTCCTAATCAATCCTGCAAGGGGAGGGTTTTTATAACTGAAGTACCACTACATAGAAGGCTGTCTTCGTGTACTTTCACAATGCATTGCTCCTGTTAATGGGACACAGAGGCGAGCCTCTCCAATAGACCACAGTTTTAGGCAAAGATATTTAGGGAGAGTTGTTTTCTTGGTCCTGTAAACAACCAGGTCCAGATCTCTTTAAAAGATGAGAGCTCTCTCACCTGATTTCAGAAACTCTTGCTCTTTGATTGATACAGAACAGCTCTGAGGTTCAGATTCTGCTGAAGCACTTTATTGTTGTGTGCCTTCAAATCATGTCCAACTTAGGACAACTCTAAGGTAACCCTGTTATCTAGGGCTGTATGACTTGGCCAGGGTCATCCAGACAGCTTCCATGGCTGAGCAAGGAATCAAGTCATGGTATCCAGAGTTGTAGTCCAGCACTGAAAGCACCATGCCAGAGTTGATGTTGATGCACTACATCAGAGTATTCATGCTGGTGGCGGCAATGGAACCAAAAGAAAAAGGCCATAGGAGATAGTGATAGTAACAAACAGAATGCTTGAAACACATTTTTTTGTGCTCTCTGTCACTATCACTGAGTAGGTCTAAAAAAATCCAGCTATTAGTGAGCATTGCCAATACTAGCCTGAGATTCACAGTTTTCTAGAACAATTGTCTAAATTTGGTTGAGGAACTATTAAAGTACAACTAATTGTTATTTTCTGTGTTTTATAAAGAAGTATTCATAATAAGGAAAGGCTAGCAATTTCTTTAAAGTATTTTTCATGTAAAAGTTTTTACATATCCTGGAAAAAAATCCAAAACACGTTAATTGAAGACTACTTTAATTATGATTCAGACCATCTGCACCAGTTCATTCATTTTTTCTTAATTCACACAAGAGGCACCTCCTCTCTTAAGGATCCATTCCCCACTCCTGATCATTGCTTTCTTTTTACATGGAAATATAGGATAGGCCATAAGCTATGAAGGAGATTCAACATTTAATAACTTCATTTTTTAAATTTAAAGTAGCATAGCATCATGCATAGTATATATCAGAAATAAATTTATATTTTGTGTGAACAATCAAAACTCATAAATGGCATCCAGCACCATGGCATAATATACAGCAGGCACGGGCAAATTTCAGCCCTCTAGGTGTTTTGGACTTGAAAGGAATTGTGAGAGTTGAAGTCCAAAACACCTGGAGGGCCGAAGTTTGTCCATGCCTGTTATACATTATATATAAGACTGCTTTGCTGTAGAAGCACTGGATGGATTTGCCTCTTTCTAGGTTTGAGTCAGCATGTGTGTGCAAGGGTGAATATTTGCCTAACTAGAGGGAAAAAGACTAGTTTTGCACACAGATGCTTTGTGCAAATTGTTGAGCTCTTGACAGGGGAAAGTGGGGGAAAGTGTTTGCCATTTCAGTCTCATCTTGAAATCTTGAGACACAACGTGTGGCTGAAAATGAAAAATACAAGGCATATTCTTTGCATTCACATCACTTTCCATGATTCACACAGTTTCTGCTTTCTAATCTGAGATGGCATGGAAGACCCTTGCAGGTGGAAACAAACTCTTGTATCTTGAATGTTGTCTTGTATCATTAGTTGAGATACTCTTTTTGGTCTATGTTAATTATGAAATTAACACACATAAGTGTTTAAATAAACAATAGATACACAGTGCATTTTATTTTATTTCCTTCCATTTCCACCCTTACCAGTAGGTAGAAATAATGCGGTTCTCATCATTCTTTTGTTGTGCTCCTGGCCCTCAAAATATAAACCACCACTGATTTCATACTTGGCCCGTGTCCCAGTGCTGCTTAACTGCTGTGCATGTTTTCTGTTCCCTTCTTTAAATTAGCACAAGGCAGAAATAAAAGAACAGGAGAGGGATGCTCTGCTCAGCCAGAGCTTCCCGGCGGCGGTTCGGTTTTCTCTCTGAGCTGCTTCTTTCACTTGCTCAGTGTTCATTCCATTTCATGGCTGGTTAACTAGCACAAAGGTAGCTGACCTCACTGTTAACTTCTGCTTTTGAAGGGGGCACAATTTCCCTGCATTATAGTTCTCAGTAATCATTTATCCTTCTCCCCAGAGCTCTTTCTCTGTGATTGCTTCTACTTTGATGTCCACACAATCAATATTTCTTCCCCATGCATTTAGACACAAAAGCATTGCCCTGACCTCTTGTATTTTATATCAGTACAAGTTATTTTATTTTTTTATTACATTCTCTCCTCCCCCTTCCTTATAACAGGCTTAATGCAATATGGAAACCTCACTGATCATGGACTGATGCCTTCGCCAGCCGGGGCTTTGCACTGCATATCTTTAAGAGGGCGATTCTTTCACAATGAATGTAAGGTCATGCAGTATGAGCCATCGGACAGCAAGTACTCCTCACAGGTCCAAGATGGTAAATGGACTTCATATCCCACCCATCCGAACTCATGTAGGAACTTCTTGCTCATCAACTAGTGCTAGTACTCCAAGCCCAGCTATTGGGATCCTGTCCAGCAACTTTCATTTAAAGGCATCTCTTGGAGGAGGCATTGCCCCACCAAACAACATTATTGATTCCAATATTCATTTCCCTGCTTTAAGCCCCAGGAGACAAACAGTTACAAGTGGGAAACCTTCATTCCAAGTTCCACAAGCTCCAGGATTGACAGCACCACAGTTTTTGAAGCCAAAGCAGCAAGAATTTGGAAATAGTTTCACTACCAGCACAGTTAAAGGTAGGGCTAATTTTTTCACACAGTAGTGTTATTTCCAGGAAATTATGCATTGTTTCTGTACTTGCATACCAGGCATGGGCAATCTTCGGCCCTCCAGCTGTCTTGGTCATAGACTCCCACAATTCCTAGCAGCCAGTAAGCTGGCTGGGATTTCTGGGAGCTGAAGTCCAAAACATCTGGAGGGCCAAAGTTTTTCCATGACAGTTATATACAATAGGGATGCTTCCAAGGGTATAAATATTTTCTACTCATCCCCACATGTTTCATGTTCGAAAGGATTCTCAATGTATCCCTTTTCAAGCACAGCCTTTTTCTGTTGGACTCTGCTTTGTCAGTTCAAGTATTTTAATTTTTGTATTATGTTGGCCATCATCCCTTTCTAGGGACACTGGGCAGTTCTACACAGACACTATAATAATCCATTTTGGATTGAAACAAATTGAGTTTTCTGCACCTGCACAAACACCCCACGAACCAGTTGGATGATGCAACACTGGCCACAGTATCCGCCGATTGCGGATATGAACTGGACATAGGAACTGCAGTATCCGCATCTAGATAGCCATCAGCAAATTATTTTTTTTCTTAGCCAGTCTGCTGAGATGAGCTGATGCACTGCTGATGATCAGAGTATATCCCAGTTTCAAGCCTGAATGGAATATACTCTGATCAGTCTAACTTGTTCCAGACTTTCTGGTAAGGGTTTTTAAAATACATTGTTTAAATGCATACTGAAGCACATGGGGTGTGTGTGTGTGTATGTTATGTGGATACTCCACCCTTGAGCCACCTTGTGTAGAACTCCCCAATGCCAACCTCATTCCCAACATCCTTCCCAACAAGAGGAATATAGTGACTATTTAGACCTTTGCAAGCAAGAAAGTTGAGCATCAAATTAAAATCTGGAGTGCCATTCTGCCCCACTATCCATACTAGGCATTAGCTGTCTCTTTCTTTTTAACTTGTCTAGTTGCAGGTTTCAGAGGATAATAGATTTGTGAGGGAGCTTGACAGTCTGATTCTTGCTTGATTCAGGAAATCTGGATGATTGTCCACCTCAAACAAAGAAGAGTCTACTCACTCCTAGCTGAATTGTTCCATTTTCAAGACTTCTTACTTACGAGATAAATTTCTCCTAGCAATCAATTGCAATTATCATCTTGTAACTTAAACCCATTAAAACAATTTCTGCTCTTTGAGGCACTGGAGAACAAGCCTTAGCCATTTTCTGTGTTTCAGCCTTACAGTTATTTGAAAGGAGATACCATGGTCTAGTGCAGTGGTTCTCAACCTTCCTAATGGCGTGACCCCTTAATACAGTCCCCCATGTTGTGGTGACCCCCAACCATAATATTGTTTTTATTGCTACTTCATAACAGTCATTTTGCTACTGTTATAAATCATAATGTAAATATCTGATATGCAGGATGCATTTTCATTCACTGGACCAAACTGGGCACAAATACCCAATACACCCAAATGTGAATGCTAGTGGGGTTGGGCAAGGATTGATTTTGTAATTTGGGAGTTGTAGTTGCTAGGATTTATAGTTCACTTATAATCAAAGAGCATTCCGAACTCCACCAGCGATGGATTTGAACCAAACTTGGCTCCCATGACCAATGGAAAATATTGGAAGGGTTTGATGGGCATTGACCTTGAGTTTGGGAGTTGTAGTTCACCTATATCCAGAGAGCACTGTGGACTCATGCAATGGTGGATCTAGACCAAACTTGGCATGAATACTCAATATAACCAAATGTGAACACTGGTGGAGTCCGGGGAAAATAGATCTTGACATTTGGGAGTTGTAGTTGCTGGGATTTATAGTTCATTACAATCAAAGAACATTCTGAACTCCACCAACAATAGAACTGGCTCAAACTTCCCACATGGAATCCCCATGACCATCAGAAAATACTGTGTTTTCTTATGGTCTTTGGCGACCCCTCTGACACCCCCTCGCGACCCCCTCAGGGGTCCCGACCCCCAAGTTGAGAAACACTGGTCTAGTGGTTTGAATGTTGGTCACTCTGAGGAACAGAGTGTTGGGTGCCTTCTCAGCTACAGAAACCTGCCGAGTTTCTTGGGTAAATCTGCTTTCTCCAGCTTTAGAGGATGGCAAAGGCAAAGAAATCATGAACAAATCATGCCAAGAAAACCCCGTAATAGCTTGGCCTCAGAGCCACTATAAGCCAGGAATGACTTGAAGGCACACAACAGCAGCAGTGGGTGTGAGCCTTATTCTCTACTGGGCTGAAGAAATGATCACACTAATCATACAGCAGTCAAAGTCATGTCTTACACACAGGCTGTCTTCGCCTGTTACAATGAATCACAATTTATTTAATGTCCACGGACAGAAAGGAGCCTGTACAAATTGTTGAGCTCACAAATTCCTCTGTCTCCTTTTCACATGAGTGGGAGGACAAATAAGCTGGAATTCCATTTTTCTTTAACATTTTCTTGACTCACCATGTAAATATGGATAGGAGTCTTTGCTTATTTCATATATGAAAAAGGCAGATAATGAGTGTTTCTGCATTTTGGAACTTTTTTGAGAACATTTTTTTTGCACAACACATGTTGGTCAGAATTTTCTATGGAAGTTAGTGAATTGACATATGTGGGAATTAAAATTGGGCAATTTCATAATGTTGAATCCAGTAGAAGGTTGCTGTTATATTATTATGTACTAAAGCTGGCAAAGTAACTACTGCAATATATGATCAATGTGCATAAGGACCATTGTATTTTGGGTACCAAGACACATCAGGCATTGTTGCAATTTTTTCAATTAGCAAATGATTTGTTAGTACCTCTGCTACTTAGTTGTATGAGTGTAAGTTCCTTCCAAGTCACCTGTTGAACTATGGCAACCCCATGAATTTAATAGGGATAGAAGTCGTTTGGCCATATGTTTCCTCGGAGGCCCCTTCTACACTGCCATATAAAATCCAGATTATCTGCTTTGAACTGGATTATATGGGAATATAGACTCATGTAATCCAGTTCAAAGCAGATAATGTGGATTATTTGCTTTAATAATCTGGATTATACAGCAGTGTAGAAGAGACCTGGAATATAGTTTACAACTGATATTTAGTTGCAGTATCCCATCCCAGTACTAAACAGGCAGAGCCTGCTTAGCTTCTTGTATCAGATCTGATTTGGTGTCTTTAAGGCATTTAGGCTTAGTAGCTACTTAGTAATGTATATGTAAAGTTGTGTTACATAATTGTAATATAGGATTCTGGTGAATAAACACATTTTTTTGCAATGTCATGGTTTTTTATATGAAAAAAAGGGTAGGGGTTAGGGGATATGGGTATTAATTTTGCAGAAGGCATCTTTCTTCTGGGAAAAAAAACCCAAGCTTAATAAAATTACTCAAGACAGGAACATAATCATACATTTTTTCAACCAATGAGTCTCAATAGCTTGGCAAGTGTAGCTTCTCATTCTTTTCCCTCTCTTTTGCAGCAATGGCATACAATAATAGTGATGTCTGGAAGCTATTTTAAGGGAATATAGTTAATAACTAAATTGGAGGCCATTTGGGATCTTTTAAAATTAATTACTGCTGTTTCAGTAAGGGTATATATGGAAAGAATCAGGACGGATTCCTGTCATCCAAAGCAAGGCAGCATGTATTTGGGATAATGCAATTGTACCAATTATTTTTTTTCTCTCAAATGTACTTCTTGTTGGCTTTGGAATGACGGGGATGAAAGCCAGTTTCCAACAGAACTAATACACATGTTTTAGTTTAAATAGTGTCTTCCAAATGTTCAGTGCCATAGAAAAATTAGAAAAGAACTACTTGAGAAAGCAGTACTTCAGTCCCAATGACAACAACGTTTTGTTCTGTATGCTTCCTGGTAGTGTAGAACAGACTGTGTGTTACTGTTTTTTCCCCTTTTTACTCTCAACAGGCAAGTCTCAACAGGAACAATTGTATGGGTCTTGATTTTAGTTAATATTATATTACCTTCTGCAAGGTAGATACAAATCACACAAGTGCAGCTTCATGATATTAAGTAAACATGTAGCATTTTTGTAGTAGGATTAACAAAACACACATCTTTAAACTTACTTTAAAAACATGTTATTTTTTCAAATCTGATTCATAATGAGATGTGTATGTTTGATGTATGCATCTCAAGAAGCATATACAAAGAGAATGTTCTTGAAACAGTAGTAAGCATTGTTAACGTAATTCTTTCAGTGTATGGCTACAGTCATTATAATTGATAGCAGAGGTGGAGAACTCAAGATGGCCTTACATCTAGGCAACCATGGTGAAAACTACACCAAGATGGTTCCTTCTGGAAGCTGAATGTTACCATTTCTGACTATCCCTATTGCTTTCTGTGGCCTCTTGCAGCTTACCATGTGTATGTGTTCACATGATGTCCTCCCCATTTTCTAAACATCTGAAATAGGTCCAAAGAAGAAGAAAACATTGGATAGTTTGCAAAGCCATAGGCTGTTCACAACCAAGAAAGGAACAGTTTTTAATGCATCCTTAGACCCATGTAAAGCAAGGAGCCTGGCAGGCTAGAAAGTAATCCTCCAACTAACCCAATCTGGCAGGGACAGTCCTACTTATTTAATCTCCTATTGTCTCATTTTTTCAGCTGCTTTTAAAACATCCCAGTTTTTTCTCTTTTCTCACTCTCTTCTTTTGTCCTCATCATTCTTCAGTTGCTGCAAACTGAAGCCCCTACACTGTTCATGTAATGCAGTTTCAAACCAGTATGGAAGAAAGTGGTTTTACAATGCAGATAATTACATAGGAAATCCTGGAATCAGTTTAAGGTCCAGATGGTGATTACCCAACTCACAGAGCACTGGTGGACATAAAAGACTTTCTTTCATACATTTCTTAGAGTTAGATGTCCAGCTACCACCATTTGAAGCTAACTTTGAACTGTACTAAATGGTCAGTGTAGATGGGGCCTTACTTCAAAGCGCAAATGTAATTTGCACTGAGTTAA